GGAGCACAGGGGACACCGGGGCCCGGCCGTGATCCCCGCCAGGAGCCTGCGCTGCGGGCCAGGCCACCGCCAGCGCGCCCTTACTCGTCTTAGCACAAAGCACCTGGGCCTGAACCAGCACGGGCTCCATGGGCTCGTGCCCCTGGCACCGAGTCACACACTGGAGGCAGACAGATGGTGTGGTTTGAGGGCGGGGGGATACAGCTCTTAGGATGATGTTTCCAGGAAAATTATAAGTTTCCCTATTTTCCTTTCCTATAAATAGATGCTACGCACACAAACATTTCCGCAGCCCCTCCCCTTGGCAAGTTTAAGGGTGAGAACATTTACAGAAAGCAAACATGCAGATAGATGAAGCCCTTTCATTTTTTCCCCCCACACAGGGGTCTTCAGCAGCTGCTGGTGGTCACAATACCCCATATCAAATATCTATGCTTATAAGAAGACCTCCATGCCTATTCTTCCTTCTCTCATCCAAAGGAGGGCTCATCCCCTCCATCTCTCTTCCCCTCTCCTCCCTGCGTTATGAATTATCCCAGGCACCCCCATGGCCCTCAAACCAGGCAGAAGGTCTCAGCTGAGGCCTGTGCCCTCACATGACAGTCAGGGGCTGGAGGGGCTAAAAGGGGACATGCAGCTGCTGGTCTGATGCACCAAAACATAGATAATTCTCTAGCAATAACCTGGGGCTGAGTTAGGAGGGTAGAGCTCACTCCATAATCAGCAAGAAGCAATATCCAAAATTAGAGCTGTAATTTAAGCTTGTGTTCCAGTGTGAATAAGGAAAGCAGTGTTTTCCATGTTTAGACAGCCAAGAATGATGATTCATTTATTACACATCCTATTGTGACATCCTGTGGTGAAGCACAGTATTACAGATACAGTCCAAGTTTGGGCTGTCTGAATGCATAGCATGATAGCTGGTAGAATTAGCAGTAGCATGCCATATCCCTCTAGTCCAACTATTGCCTTCTACATAGCTAGAAGAGGGCTCTCCAGCAATGCATAACCAACCAGAATGAATATGAATGAATATCAGAATTTAACATCAAATGAATAGCCAACCAGCTCAAGAGCAGCATTAACCATCCTCTAGAAAACATATCATTAGACAAGGAGAAAGCACACTGGGCCAAAATTGAATGGAAGATGCCATACATTTTTTGTGCTTTGGTGACCCCAACTTACACCTTTATATCTGTCCTCTATTAAAAAAAAAAAAGCCTTATTATGTGCTACTCTTATGAACAACCACAAATTCACATCTCTTTGGGCAACATTCTAAGGACTAAGACTCTTCAGTGAGGGAAAAAAAAAAAAAAAAGGCAGCACAAACCTTTCCACAACAGTCAAGCTGTTAATACAAAGCATATACATTATGTCTGAGATGCAGACAATAGCAAACATTTTTTCCCCTGGTAAAAGGTAAAGAACATAGTACTGCTGCTAGCAAACTGCTGTTTCTTCCAGCTCAGCAGAATTGGGCTGGGAAGCTCATAGCTGCAGGTGATTCAAGGGATTGCAATTACCCTTCCATTGGTTCAAAACCAACACTCCAGCCTTCCAGCCCCAGTGTGCACCAAAGAATGGTTCCAATGACACATGAAATTGAGGTCTTGACCCTCTGACATCATCAGCAAGTCTTGGCATTTTTCTCACAATTAGTTGGGTGAGAGGTCTACTTAGATCCCAGGTGGGAAATTAGCATTGTTCATTAACAGCACACTCCCCTTTCATCAAGCCACAGCTTTCAGCCCCCAAGCTAAGCAGCTGCATGCAGTTCATGCAGTTTTAAATAGCTGATGAAGATAACAGATATGCTACATCTATTATGTCTTCACTTGTTTGAAGAAGCTTTTGGGGAAGACGGGGAGAGGAACCTGTACACACAATGCTGTTGCTCAGGCTCATCTTCACTGCTTGCAACAGAAGAGGTTAACAGCTATCTGGCTTTTTGCCCCAGCTACAAAACTCTCCCAAGGTCTAGATTTCTATTTAAGCAGCAAAAAAGTACAGCAAATTACATACTCCACACCTGTGAGCACTGCCCTCAGTGAATTACTTAGGGAGAAAATAAGGAAAACTAGGTATGGATTTATAAAATAAGTATTCCCAATGACATCCAGAAGCTGTTTGTCAAGTAAAATGCAGTGTCATGTGCCAGATCATTTCCAAAAGGATTTGAGAATTGACAGTAAACTTTAAGACTTTCATCCTGGGAGACTTACAGTTCAGACTTAGTACAAGCTAAGCAAAGGTGACTAGGCTTTATCCTACTTCTAGTATTCTACCACAACCACCCCCCCTTTCTGTCAGTTTTTGTAGTATTATAGTTCTTATTCCAAGTATAGGAACAAGTAGAGTTGGCTTGAAAAAAGGCAGCATTTATTGAACATAAAACATTAAGGTACAAAAGTAACCCTTATTTCCATAGAAAATAGAACTTAGAAAAAATAGTTTAGTAGGCAGTTTTAATCCAGGAGCATGAACAGCTTCTACTATCTGCATCTGAAAGACATAAGAATGCACTGTAAGGGTTAAACAGTTCAACACAAGCATCTACACCTTTGCAGAAAAGGGATTAGTCTATTTATGGTAACTGTTTTTACCATATTCTGTTGAAATACTATTTTCCACATAGCTTGACCAGGCCTCATACCAAACAGGTGAGACACCAGCAAATTATTACAATAGACAATTCAGTGTCTTAGTAGCTTGAGTCTATGTCGCCATTTTAATTGATAAAGTACAGAGAGGAAAGATCTCCAAGTGTCTTCCACTGCATTCCCAACACTAATCAGAGGCCAACTACCAACTCCAGAGCAGATGCAGCTATACACATAACAGTAGCACTCAGACATGCTGACACAATACTACAGTATTCTGGGTTCTCTCATCCCGCAGCTTATACCTGTTGTGCTGAAGATTCCCATGAGAGGGCATTCCAATTGCTCCTGGTGATTTGAAGGCAGTTTCAGAGGCTCTCATCAGAGCTGCATATCTACAGAGAAATACAACCAGGCTCAGCACCTCTTAATCATACCACCAGTAGCCTCAGTTTTCCATCCAGTTTTATTTGCATTGACAAGTCACACAATCTTATTGCACACAGCAAAGAAAGTACATCTGCCTAAAAAAGAAAGATGTTGTACTAAAGTTAAGTTTAAGCTTTGTTTGGCAAAATATTGTAGTGTCATGTTCTTAGCTATTCAGTCATTTGCTTCTGGGCAAAACTTCAGGATTTTAATATTTAGTCTGAGGCCTCAAAGGGTACTTTGAGTTAGACAGTCAGAGTTCTTAGTCACAAAACACCTACCTCCTTTGAGTGGGTCAGGTAGGTTTAAAAGAGCTTTGGGAAGGTTTTAAAAACTTTTGTCTTAGTCCATAAATTTCTAGAAACCAAACCTAAACTACTTCAGTAAAATAGTGACTATCTCTTAGCATTCTGGTGAAGCACCATCCTGTAGGCAATGGGAAATGTTGACAAATAATCCTACCAGCCACTGTGACTAGCTCAGAAACTTAAGCTACAGCTAAGCAAAATGACCCAAGTACAGCTTACCCAGCCTTGGAGACGGGGTGGCTACTCCCTTTGCAGTCATGATCCAGAGGATGCCGATGTTTTATACAGAAGTTCCCACTGCACTGCTCACAAACCACCTTCATCAGCTCCTTCCTTTTGCAGCCAGGCTTTAAGCACCTGTTTGTGAAGATCTAAACAAAGGACATGAAGTTGTCAGTGTTTGCTGGCTTCCTGAAATCAGCTTCCCAATTAGCAACTAAGCCAACGATGAATGCTCAAGTGCCTTTAGAATTAACAGGAAAACACAAGCTCTATTTTGTTCTTTACAGTAGAGTGCACAGCCCAAAGACAACAAGCAATAGGCAGGCAGTTCAGATCCCAACAGCAATTTTCCTTACCTTCTGTTTCTGAGCTGGATTGTATTTGCAGTTCTTATCCATGTGCGCTCCAACCACAGCATCTGGTATTTCCCCTTTCTGCACTGGGATAGGGGCATTACAGAGTGGACACACCGGAACCTGCACATTCTGAGAACACACAACATTTCAGAAACACAACCCAATTCTTCGATCACCATGGGAAGGAGGGGGAAAAAAAAAAAAAAAAATACTGCATGTTCACAAGTGTTTTGCATTCTAATCATTCACTGACTATTCTTAACTCTTCCCAGCAACAGATGTCCTTCATAAAGGAAGCTGCAAGTCATCAAAAAACACCTTGGTTTCCAAATATTCAGTAACTTCAGGTATAATTTGGGGCTCTGAAGTGTTTTAAAGTTCCTAACTCCAGGAAGCCCAGGCATAGGCCAGAGAACAGTCCACTATTCATTGCTTCTGTAGTTCAGTAGTTGCTGGCCTTCACCTTAAAGGACATAGGCTGGAAAATTTTAGACATACACTACATTACTAGTAGTGTTAAACACTCTTCTTTGGGGGAAGAAAAGCATAAGTGAAAGAAACTAGAATCTGACTGTACTGAACTTAGAGGGAATGTTTCTCTACATCTGAACTTCATCTGTATCAATAAGCTACACTTTGTAGTTCTGCCATCTATTGCTACTGAAGCCAAAGGTCAATTTTTAAAACCTTGATACAGAATTTAACAATTCTATAACATCAGTTAGTGATAGTCACATATAGAAACTTACTTTTTTGTAGGCAGAACTACACTTGTGGTCATCATATCGGATATGGTCTTTACAGAAGACTTCCCCACATGCATCACACTTCAAAGGAAGGAAGTCTGGGGAAAATAAAGAAAAAAATTCTCAGAGTGAAAATTAAAGGAGCTTGTAGTAGAACACTTACAAAGAAAACTCCACACACAAGTTGTAAAACAACTTTTTTTTTTTTTGCTAGCAATAATCCCATTATTATCAAAATTCATGGTCATTCCTCATGGATATTAAAACAAACAAAAATCCCCTTCTTCCTTTTCATGTATGAATGACAAACATTAGACTACTAACACAAGCCACATGCATCCTAATAGTTCCTAGAATAAAATTTTAGCAAGGCATTAGTCAAAAGCTACAAATCTAATTACAAATCCAAAACCTAAAGCCAAATTCATCTTTTTAAAGTCTTTTTTTTTTTAAAGCAACAGCCAGAACAGCACCACAGGCTCAGCTATTCCTCGGCTTATTTAGGAGGAGCTACAAACAAACAGATATCCGCGGAGATACCACCGGGAGCCCGGCGCCCCGGAGAGAACCTGAGCACCGACCGGCCCGACCCAGCCCGCCGCTTACCCAAGCGCCGGCAGGCGACCTCCGAGCAGTGCCTGCCCAAGTCCGGCAGCTCCATGGCGGCCGCGCTCCGCACCGGGCCCCACAACCGTCACCCCCGATA